GGACCTCTTTATAGTTTTATACTAAATTTTCACTATTTACTGTTAGGAATTAAAACCACAAAAGTTTTGTAGGTATTTACTAATCTATCAATTACATGTTGACACAATGTTTTAGGAAAGCATATTTTCAAATAAAAAATTTAGTTAAAATGGCATTCATTATATCTTTGCAAATGTTTAATGTCTGGCATATTAAAAGATAGCTATATGTGCTTTTGTTTCTAATTCTGTTGTAATATGTTGTTCTGGTTCAAGTATGTAAACAAGATTTAACCTAACACAGATGTATCTCTGCAAAAGTAGTGTGGTTTTCGTTTGTTTGTTTGTTTTTGTGGTACTGGGGACTGAATCCAGGACCATGCTAGATAAAGCACTCTGCCACTGAGTTAAATCCACAGCTCCATAATCTAGCTTCAACAACTAGTAGCATCTATTATTGCTATTTCACTTGAACTCTAAAACTATTTTCTAAAGTATTTTAACAGGGCTAGACATTTAGCTCAGCAGTTCAAGCACCTGCTTGGTAAGTGCAAGGTTGTGAGTTCAATTCCCCATACCAAAACAAAACAAAACAAGTATTTTAACATAAGTGCCAGACATTCTATCATTTTCATCCATCAAAACTTCAGTATGATTTGTTACTGCATAAGGATCTTAAGAAAACCTAAAACACTTCAATATCACTATTATATTAAAACAGAAACATTAAATCTGCTGGAAGACAGAGTATGTAAAACTCTTGAAGACATTGGTGTAGGCAAAGACTTTATGAACAAAACTCCAACCGCACAGGAACTATCAAAAAGAATCAACAGCTAGGATCTCATCCTATTGAAAAGCTTTTGCACAGCAAGAGAAATCATCTGCAGAGTGAAAAGATAACCCACAACACGGAAGAAAATGTTTGCCAGCTGTACCTCAGATAAAAGATTATTATCGAGAACATATAAAGGACTTAAAAAAATATGTCTTCCCAGATTTAAAGACCCAATCCAAAAATGGGCATCTGAGATGAATACACACTTCTCAGATGAAATACAAACAGCAAGTAAATATGTGAAAAAATGTTCAATCTCACTGATCATTCAAGAGATTCCACCTTATCCCAGAAAGAATGAAATTAACCAGTAACAAGAAAGCAAACAATAGCAAATGCTGGAGGGGCTGTTGGGAAAAGGGAACCATTCTTGACTGCTGGTGGGAATGCAGACTGGTACAATCCCTGTGGAAATCTGTGTGGAGATTCCTCAAAAAACTAAGATTGGAGGTCCCATTTGACCCAGCTATTCCACTGGGGATACAGCTCAGTGGCACAAGCGCTTACCTGGCAAGTGCAAGGTCATGAGTTCAATCCCCAATACCAAAAAACCCAAAAAACAAAAAAACAAAAAACCAGTAACAACCCAGCTATTTCCCTTCAGGGAATCAACCCCAAAGCATTAAAAACATCATACCACAGCGATATATGTGCACCCATGTTTATAGCAGCATAATTTGTAATAGCTAGATCTTGGAAACAACATAAATGCCCATCGACTGAGAAATGGATAAAAAAAAGATGTGATACATTTATACAATGGAGTACTACTCAGCCATAAAGAAGGATAAACTGGAGACTTATAGGTAAATGTGAGATCATACTCCTAGGTTAAATAAATTAGACACATGTAAACATCATACTGTCTCACTAGTAAGAAACAATATATGTATATATATATAAAAATAGTTAAGATGCTTATAATATTGATTTCTCTGAGTTCATTAAAGAGAAAGATTTTTGCTGGTATTGTTCAGACAACTGATAATTATTGATATCAACTAATGGTAACCAGGTAAAGATAACTAGAAGATTTATTTCTGATATTGAAGTGATTTTTTTTTTTTGATACTGAAGATCAAACTCACATCCTCATACTTGCCAGGCAGGAACTGTGCCACTGAGCTATATTCCCAGACCTGTTTGGACAATTGAATGCAGATGCTTTATGCTCTGGGTGAATGATGTGGGGATATTACACAATATATGTACCACTGTTGCTTCCTGATTGATATGTTTTGAAATTTTTTTTTTTTTTTGGTCTTTTTCCTATTTATCGGTACCAGGGATCGAACTCACCACTGCCTGCTTGCAAGGCAGGTACTTATGCCGCTAAGCTAAATCCCCAGCCCCATGTTTTGAAATTTTGTTTTCTTTTTCCTCTTTGAAATAAAATGGATTTGAAAAAAAATCATTATTATAATCAACAAAATTAATAGCAACCCCTTAATAACATTATCTCATACTAAGTCACATTCAATTTTCCCTGACTGCCTCAATAGCATCTTTTTATGGTGGCTTATTTGATTCAGATTCTAAACAAAGTCCATGGACTGTATTTAGTTGATATGGCTATTTAATCTACAACAGTTTCATTTCTTTTTCTTTTTTGTGGTACGGGGAATTAAACCCAGAACCACACACATGCTATGCATGTGCTCTACCATTGAATTACACCACTAGTGTTCCCTGTTTTTCTTTTCATGTCATTTATTTGTTGAGGAAATTGGTCATTTGTCTTAATTTTTTTTTGTATTTTAGATCTGGTTAACAATACTCTCAACGTGTCTTTTACATTTGGTTAGAAGTATCCTTGATGTCTCATTTAATGTGTTTTCTGTCTCTAGTATTTCCTGTAGAACAGATAGTCTAAAGGCCTGATTAGATTCAAATTGAAATTCTCTTGGCAAGAGTGCTCTTTATAGGTGGAGCTGCTCAATCTTATTGCATCACATCAATTAGAAGATAATTTTTGGTTGTCTTGCTTTTAATGATGTTAAGACTGAGCACTAGATTTAGGTGAAGGAATTTGTGATCTGTCAGTATATATCACAAATTCCCCCTTTTTTTCTTTTTGAGACAGGATCTCACTACGCAGTTCAGGTTAGCCTTGAGCTCACTTTGTAGCCCAGGATACTCTTGAACTCAAAATGATCCTCCTGTCTTAGTCTCCTGAGTTCTAGGATTACAGGGGTGTGCCACCACATCCAGCTATAAATTTCCTTTTAAATTTTTATCTTATTCAGTAGTTTGAATACTGATTTCATCACTGCTTTGGGATTTCACACTGTCTCTTTTTAACCTTTAAAAAATGTTCTGTATAGAGAAAGGAACACCTTAATAAATTTAGGAGCCCAAAGAATCAACCTTCACACAAGGAAGAAGACCATCATCCCTCTCCTTTAGAATCCAATTTCAAATACATTCATAAAATACCTATTTATTTAAAGGTACTTGATCTCAGCCTCCCTAGAAAATAACCTACACAAATAACTATAAGAAATCAGTGCAAAAGAAGAAAAATATATATAAAGTGTCAAACAAAGCTAGATAAAGAGGTAAATAGTTCTTTTTTTTTTGGCTTTTTTCGTTTTTATCGGTACCAGGGATCGAACTCACGACTGCCTGCTTTCAAGGCAGGCGCTTATGTCACTGAGCTAAATCCCCAGCCCCAATAGTTCTTTTTACATAACTTATAGAAAGTGGCATTTGAACTGAAATTCTAGAGGGATGAATTAGGAATTGCCAACTTCACTCTAATCTACTCTCCCTCTCTATTTGGTTCTGATTGTGGGGGCTGGGGGTTTAGCTCAGTGGCACAGCACCTGCCTGGCAAGTGTGAGGTTCTGAGTCTGATTCTGGGTATTCCACCTCCACAAAAAAGAATTATTAAAATGGCTAGGAATATAGCTCAGCAGCACTGTGCCTGCCTAGAAAGTGCAAAGTCTTAAATTCGAGTCTCAGTACCAAAAAAGTATAATCATGGTTCCAGTTGAATAGGCCTTCTTCTAGTTCCTGGAAGCTACCAAAATCTCTTTATTATTTCCAGATTTCCAAACTACTGGATTCATCTCCTTATTCTTTTTCCTTAGTTATCTCTTACCCATCTGTTAGGTGCATTAATATAACATTCCCTCAGGTAAGATTTTCTTAGACTCTTCAACCTTCTTTTGTTTTTCTCAGAACACCCTTGTTAATTTCTTTCTAATCACAATTTGTAATTACATATCCATGTGGTCCTAAATCTGTTTCTTACAGTAGGATACTGGCTTATAAGAGAGCAGGCTGTACGGTGCACCATGGTATATTTGGGGCTTTATATCATGCTAATAAGCACTCAATGAGTATTTACTGAAAAAAAAAAAAAAAAAGTAGCAGCAGCAGGCCAAGTTGTCTGAGTATCCAGCTGCCATTTCAGAATGACTCAGAGTTCAACCCACCCCAGCACCAATAGAAACCATTGTTTCTCTGCAATATTTCAGACCGTCCTCAGTGACCTGGTTCAGGGAAGCCAATATATGTGCCTTTGCTAACTACTGCAATCAAGAGACTCTCTCTGAGGCTCCCTATAGGAATGACATTACAGTACCTTGGGGGTTTTAAGCACAAACTTCTGTTTGCTTTCATCAGGGCCCAGCTGTGCCTTCAGTTTCAGGAGTTTTGCTACTTCTTCTTCGATCTGTGGAGGGAAAAAAGCCGCGGATATCCGTCACTTCCTTCCCTCCCCCATTCATTCATTTCATATTTTTCCTTATCAAAAACTTAGGCAAGTTTGTCTGCCTCGGCCTAGCCTTGCTTCTTTGAGGAACTGCCGTAGTTATCTCACGACCCAGACCATCCTTCTCCCTGCCAGCCCAGTCCTCTCCTTCACATCCCAGTCCTCTGTCCAAACCACCTGGCTTCATGTCTTCGCTGGATTTGCCTGACACCTCCCCTACTGCCTGAATCGTACCTGCTCCGCGTTGGCCTTCTGCTGCTTGAGGCTCCGCACATGCTCTCCCTGAAGTCGTACCAGCTCCTCCAGTGAAGCACAGTTTGCCATCCCTGTGCCCAACTGGAGCCAATTATTGCTGTCTGGACCGGCCTTCAGTAACTCAGCCTTGGTCAGGATGACTTCCGGCTATCGAGTCGCGGGCGCACAGCCTAGAGGGCCTCTGCCGAGTGCTCAAACCATTTCCGGGTCAGGGATTTTGGGAAAACGAGTTCAGTTTGTGGGACTAGTTCGTGCTCTAGTACTCTGGCTGCACGTCTTCAGCACCAGGCTGTGTTCCTGGGGACGATTCTGCTTCATTCCCAGGACTTTGGCTGTTGTTTCTGAAAGCTGTGTCCTGCTGCATGATGCCCCAACTCGGATTCTTGCCCAGACGGGCTTGCGCTGCACTGCTCAGCCAGATGCTGCGACCACCTCGCGCTGCGTGCCTCCCGGCGGTCTGTTGCCATAGCCAGGTGAACCAAACTGAGATAGCTCCAGGCTTTTAGGGAAGGAGCCCTGGGTCTGAAGATATGGACAATTATGGCAGTTGGTTTTAATGAGCGCCCGCTATGTACCGGCACCTAACCAAGCATTTTGTATGCTTTGTTATTTAATAATTAGAGCTATCTTGAGAGGTTGGGGTTCTCCACTTTAGAGTTGAGCAGACAGAAGCTGCAAGGTTCAAAGACTTACCTGCAGATCTTAGCAAACAAATATTTTAATGCAGTTCCCCATTTCATTAGCCGAAGTTCTTAAAAGTCGCCACTTTAATATTTCGTAAGCAAAGTATATGGATATTCCTAGTGAATGAGATGGCTATAGACAATAGAGTTCGTATTATCTTAAAATGCGTTTGAGAAAAGCATTTTTAGTTTTAGTTTCAGAATTATAGATGGAGGGTTGTGGAGTTGAACAGGACTTCTCTTTGGAGAGAGAATCGCAGTAAGGAACTAGCATACCACAGTTGCTGGAGGGACATACAGTATTTAAGTCAGGTGATTCTGTTTTGCCTCATTTCAGAAAGTCCCTAGTGCCCTCTTAGCAGATGCTTTGTGCTGCCATGAACAACAGAGCTAAGATCTTTTACTAATTTTCAATCACAGCATCCTTAGTAGTTTTTGAGTTCATTCAAGAAATACATTCTTTTTATTCGACAAGCTTGTTGTGTTCTTGGGTTGGTTCTCTTTATTCAAAGTACATATACCTTTATCTCTGATAAATAGATCCATCTTACTAACAATTCTTATTTTTGCAGTTTGAGTAGGAACTGAGAACTGGAAGCATTGATACTAATCCCTGCTCCTCTACCAAGAGTGGAGTAGTGTTGGTGGTAGTAATATTTTGTTTTGTGCCTTCATTTTTCTCATGTGCTTAAACTTTTTCATACATTTCAAAACTTCAAATACAGTGAAAAGCGATAGAGACTTTATATATAATACATGTAATACTGTAGACAGAACATGGGTTCTGAGATCAGGATAGATAAAACAGTGCTCTGGCTTCCTGTTGCTCAGGGTCACAGATCCTTGCAGGCTAGTGGTCCATAAATTCAGAGATGTCATTGGTCTGGCCAGTGTCCAGATAAGTTATATTTTATGTTTCTTTTTCTGCCAGGTTGCAGAGGTAATGTTAACGTCCCAACTGAAACCACATCAAGAGAAACCAAATTTTATCATCAAGACTCCAAAGGTAATGTCCTTTACCCATCTTATCCCATTAGAATACCATGGAGAACTGACCTGTGCTGTACTTAGCTCTGTAACTTCTTATAATATCTTTTTGAGGTAAGTTTCAAACAAAAGCAAAACTAAAAACTTCTTCTATTCTTGATGTACTAGATGAGGCTCAGAGTTATCTGAACTAAAGAATTTTCAGGCCAAGAGTCATAGTGCATTTATGTAATTCCAACTACTTGGGAGGATTAGGCAGGAGGATCACAAGTTCAAGGCTAGCCTAGGGAAATGTAGCAAGACTGTCTCAGAAATACAAAGCAGTAGGGATGTAGCTTATTAGTAGAGTGCTTGCCTAGCATGTGCAAGTTCTTGCACTCTACAAAAAAAATGAAAAAATAAAATTCAGTTCATTCCTTACATTATAGGTATAATTTAACCCTTTGTTTCACATGTTTTAATCTTTGTTTTTTGTTTGTACTATGACCATTTTGGTTTTCAGGGCACCAGGGATCTGAGTCCCCAGCAGATGGTTGTGAGGGAGAAAATTCTTGATATGGTTATCAGTTGCTTTAAACGTCATGGAGCACAGGGATTGGATACACCAGCATTTGAGCTAAAAGTAAGGCAGACGAGAATCTGGAATCTCCTTTCTTCACTTGCCTTCAGTGTCCCAGAGGGCTTCTCATCTGTGGTTTGTAGTTACCCTTTGAACTGTGGCTCTTTCTATCTGATCCATGCAGGAAACGCTCACTGAGAAATATAATGAGCAGTCTGGGCTCATCTATGACCTGGAGGATCAAGGTGGAGAGCTGTTGTCCCTTCGTTATGACCTTACTGTATCCTTCTAAGTGCTGGAGCCTGACTTGTTTCTTTCCAAATCCAGAGGACTTTCTCTGAGAAAAGGGAGGAGCATGACTATGGGACATAATAGCTCCACTAGCAGTAATCTTTACTTCTTGTTCCTTCTGCAAGTCAATTATGTCAGCAAAGCCTGGCCTGGAGACATCTCTCTCTTTTTTTTTTTTCTTTTGGTGCCAGGGATCGAACTCACAACCTCACATTTGCCAAGCAGACACTTACACCGCTGAGCTAAACCCCTGGCCCCAAGACCTCTCACTAAACTTCAGTGTCTATCAGAATCCCTTGGGGAAGATTGCTGAAACATAATGCCAGCTCCAGGGCTTCTTAATTCTGTAATAGAAGCAAGATTCAAAGACTTGCATTTTTAAATAGGTGTCCTCAGTAATTAGAATGCATTTGGTCCTTGGCATATACTTTCAGAAACAAAGGTTTGATATTAGAGACAAATGTAGACTGATTCCTGACTACTGTATTTATTTATTTATTTATTTATTTATTCTCTCTTCTGATTACTATATTTAGAGATAGTTGGATATTGGTCTAAATGGGAGGAAATAGCTGACCTTGGGTCATTTCTATTTCTTTTTTTTTTTAACTTTTTATTGGTACCAGGGATCAAACTCACGACCGCCTGCTTGTAAGGCAGGTACTTATGCTGCTGAGCTAAATCTCCAGCCCCCGCATTTCTCTCTCTTTCTTTCTTTCTTTCCTTTCTTCCTTTCTTTCTTTCTATCCTTTCTTTTCTTTTCTTTCTTTCTTTCCTTTCTTTCTTTTCTTTTCTTTTCTTTTCTTTTCTTTCTTTTTTTTTTGTACCAGGGATTGAACTCATGACCATGAGCTTGCCAGGCAGGCACATAAGCCACTGAGCTAAATCCCTACTGGGCCATTTCTATTTCTTCTCCTATTCTCTGCTCAACGTTGTTTTGCTAGGTGAGTTTTATTTGACACTATTCAGTATGTTTTGAATGCCAAGCACTTATAAATTTTGGAGATAGTGGAAAACAAAACAGAGAAGATCTTTGTTCTCATCCTATTGGTTAAGATCAAATAGAGGTTAAGTCCCATTTAATGTCTATATACTGGACCTATGCATTGACTGCTGTATTTTCCTTAACCTAGTTATGTGAGGTCCCTTTTGCTCGTTATCTGGCTATGAATAAACTGAAGAAGATGAAACGCTACCAAGTTGGAAAGGTGTGGCGAAGGGAGAGTCCAACTATCGTCCAAGGCCGCTATAGGGAGTTCTACCAGTGTGTAAGTGACCTGATGGGGACAGCATAGTTTCATAGTTAACCTGGAAACTGGCTGCTCAATGGGTGTTTTTTCCTGTCTTCTTTGCATTAGGATTTTGATATTGCTGGTCAGTTTGACCCTATGATCCCTGATGCAGAATGTTTGAAGATCATGTGTGAAATCCTCAGTGGGTTGCAGCTGGGAGACTTTCTCATTAAGGTAAAACCAAGACTAAGTGAGAGTCTGGATTTGGCCATCTGTGTATGTGTGCATGCATATCTGTATGAGTGCTTTTCCTATGAGATTCCCTTTTTAACCCTTTTACAAGTAAGAGAGGAACGCCATTGTTTTCACAGAAGGCAGCGTGACAGGACCCTTGGGTTTCATTGACTTTACAGGTCAATGACCGTCGGATTGTAGATGGGATCTTTGCTGTCTGTGGTGTTCCTGAAAGCAAGTTCCGTACTATCTGTGCTTCGATGGACAAACTAGACAAGGTAATAAAGACCTTAACTAGGTTTCTGTCCTAAGAAATAGTGACTGAAGTGAGACAAGTACGGAAGCAAGGTAAGGCAGCATTCTGATGCAAGATCTGAGCTGTACAGTGGGAACTGTGACTGGATTTCTTAAGCTGCCTCTGATTGTTCTGAGTAAATTATTAGCTACCTCAGAAGACCATATTAAATGAAACTAAAATATCCTTTTCCAGCAAGAGAAAGAAGGACTTGGGGCTTAGGTAATCTTTGGGTGTTTATACAGATATCTTGGAAAGATGTGAGACATGAAATGGTGGCAAAGAAAGGCCTGGCTCCTGAGGTGGCTGATCGAATTGGGGACTATGTCCAACATCATGGTAAGAACCAGTATTTTCAGAGTTGTGACAAAATCCGGCTGAGGGTGCCCCATGTTCCATTTTTTTTTTTTATCTCTGAATCAGCTCCTTTTTGTAGATGTGTTAAATTCTAGAGTCTGGCCTGAATTTAATTTCCCTTTTATTTATTGTAACTACTTTGTATCTTTAGATGGCAGGGATAGAGGAGGTTGTGGTCAGCATCTTTTTAAAGAAAAAACCAGGAAGACTAGGTCATTTCGGTAAAGCACATCTTTGGTAAAGGAATAGGCCTTCTTTTCCATCACTTTTCTCTCCAGGTGGTATATCTCTGGTAGAGCAGATGCTCCAGGATCCCAGACTATCCCAAAGCGAGCAGGCCTTGGAGGGGTTAAAGTCCCTGAAGCTTCTTTTTGAATACTTGACTTTATTTAGAATCACTGAGAAGGTAAGTCAAGTTGGGATTAGACCTGCTGAATTTGAGAGCTCAGCTCAGGGACTGTCACAGTCTGGTGTGGGACTGATTATAACCTCGCCCCACAGATTTCCTTTGACCTGAGTCTTGCTCGAGGCCTGGACTACTATACAGGAGTAATCTATGAAGCAGTTTTGCTACAACCTCCAGCTGCTGGAGAAGAGCCCCTGCATGTGGGCAGTGTGGCTGCTGGTGGGCGCTATGATGAGCTGGTGGCCATGTTTAACCCTAAGGGCCATAAGGTGCCATGTGTAGGCCTGAGCATTGGAGTAGAGCGAATCTTCCACATTGTGGAACAGAGGATGAAGGTATGTCTTAGTTAGGGGTGAGATGGTGCTGGAGGCCTAAAAACTTATTTCAAGAGGTGTAGCTAGGTGGTTTTTCTGACAGTTCTTCTGTCTTGTTTTCAGAATTTCTTGTGCAAGGGAAACTTTCATTAGTTTTACTTCTGTGTCTTTTATCAGACTTTTGGTGAGAAAGTGCGTACTACAGAGACCCAGGTATTTGTGGCCACACCCCAAAAGAACTTTCTCCAAGAACGGTTAAAGCTAATTGCAGAGCTTTGGGATGCTGGGATCAAGGTATGTTGGAGCTCATATCCGAAGCAGCTGTGTATATGTGGAATTCAGGAGCAAGAGTGGAACTCAAGGGGCTGGGGATTTAGCTCAGCAGCATAAGCGCCTGCCTTGCAAGCAGGCAGTTGAGAGTTGGATCCCCGGTACCGATAAAAAGACAAAAACAAAACAAAACAAAAAAAGGCCTATATAAGAGTGGAACTCAAGGCCTTTTTAGTTTACTAGCAGAGAGCTAGCCACTTATTTCTGGCTACTTATTTGTTTTGTCTTTTTGAGACAGAGTTTCATTATGTAGTTCAGGCTGGCCTTGAGCTCACTTTGTAGCCCACGCTGGTCTTGAATTCACAACGATCCTCCTGCCTCAGCTTCCCAAGTGCTGAGATTACAAGCGTGTGCCACCATGCCCAGCTTGATTTCTGGCTTTTTACCTTTTTTTTTTTTTTTTTTTTTTTGGTACCAGGTATCGAACTCATGACCTCACGCTTGCCAGGCAGGCGCTTATGCCACTGAGCTAAATCCCTGGCCCCCTAATTTCCGGCTTTTTAGAAAATACATGTTTTGGGGGTTTGTGTGCTATGGTCACTCTAAGTCACCTAGAGTTAAAATAGATTTTAACTCTTTTCAGGCAGAGATGCTATACAAGAATGACCCCAAATTATTAACCCAACTGCATTACTGTGAGAACACAGGCATTCCCCTGGTGGTTATTATTGGTGAGCAAGAACAGCAGGAAGGGGTCATCAAGCTCCGGTCAGTGGCCACCAGAGAGGAGGTGAGTTGGGGCTGGCAGAAATAGAAGTAAAAAAGTGTTTCTCCTTTTCTCTTGAGTTTTTTAGGAAATATGTCTCTTGGGTGAGGGCTAGTAGTGGTAGAGATGAATGAGATTCTATCTCAAGCAATCACTGCAGCCAGCAAGTATTGGCTAAGAGGGCAAATGGGGACAGACGAAATCTGCATGGGTGTTTTGAGACTAGTCAGCAAAACAGACATTGATTAGGTATTTGACTCCTTTAGTCTTGTTGGTATACATTCTCCCAGTGAGCTTATTCCCTAATAGTTGTATAAATAATAGGATGGATGCAGAGTAAAATGAATCTGGAAAAAGTGGCTAAAGAGCTACTATCACTTTCTTATTTGTCACCTGAGAGCTCTTATGTTTCAGGAGGTCATTAAACGGGAACATCTTGTGGCTGAAATTCAGAGGCGAGTGTCTCAGCCTTGATCCTAGCCTGATTGCCATCTGATGCTCTTCGTACAAAAGTATTTATTTAGCATTGAGTTCCTGATGTACTTTATAACAGCTGGCCAGCATGAATGACAAGTGCCTTCAGTTTCTTCTCTTCTTGAATACTGAAGGACGTGGGGACTCCTGGACTAGTGTAAACACCTACTTTTCATGGGGGCAGATGGCATGAAAGAGACATGTTGTAGCTGAAGGGGCATATTGGAAGCACCACTGAATGCCACCTAGAGGTGCTAAGATTGTTGCTGTGAGCAAAACTCTGGAAGAGTCCTCTCCAGATGGAAGATACTGAACCCCTGAGATCAGAAGCCAGATTCTTAGCTTTCCAGAGTTGGAACCAGAGTCCGGGAAATTTGTCAACATCCAGCCTTTGGCTTGTCCAAGGAGTTTCGGGAGTACAGCAAAGATGAACAGTGACAACTGTCTGCTTTGGGGACAGAAATATTGTACAATTCCAGGGGCTTGGCAATGCCTATGTTTATTTGGTCTCTGTTTAGTCCATGCACTGAACAATACTAGGGCAGGGCTGCTGTTTAACAGTCTGGACCACTGAACTTAATAGGTGATTTGGCAAGATAGAGATCTAGGATTTTGAAGACTATTTCCTGTTCTAGAATTACTGTTCTAACTTTCCGTATCTTGCCATAAATCCTTTTCTAGAAGTGGTTGGATAATATGTTAAATAAAATGTTTACTATAGTAGTTTGAGTAATTTGTTATCAAGGGATTAACTTGCATAGGCCACAGAAAATGTTTGAGTGCACACTGGAGGAATTCTGTGAGCTAGGAGGAACCTTCCAGGAGTGATGCATACATATTCAGCAAGGGAGCAGCCACAGTTCCTCCCTCCCCTCCTGTGGCTTGGAGATATAGTCATGTCACTAAAAATAAACCTATAGGGAGCTAGTTCCCAGACTGCTTCACTCTAGGTTCTGAAGTTGTAGGCTCTGGAGCCTTACTGGCTGTTGGGAACTGAGCTGCACAGTAGGACATGAGTGGTGGGTGAGCCAGTGGAGCTGCTCACCATTGCCTGAATCGCTGCCTGAGTTTTGCTGCCTGTCAGATGAGCAGCAGCATAAGATTTTCATAGCAGCATAGACTCTACAGTGAACTATGTAAGTGAAAGATTCAGGTTGTATGATCCTAGTGAGAATTGAATCCCCAAACCATTCATCTCTCAGCCCTCCTCCTCAAGTTTGTGGAAAAATAGTCTTCCAAGCAACAATGAAACTTGCCACAGTGGTACAGACCTGTAATCCCAGCATTTGAGAAACAGAGGCATGAGAATCTCTGGGAGTTCAAAGCCAGTCTGGACTACATAGTGAGTTTTGGACCAACACTGAATTACATAGCCAAAAACTCAAACACCAACCAAAAAACTTCATGAAACCGGTCCCTGGTGCAAAAATGGGGACTGCTGCTCTATGATGCTGTTGATGACCTGCTTTCCCAAGTTCAATCATGTTGATTAAATTGTGTGCTACTGACCGAACAACTATAATGTGTTCCAGGTGAAGGAAAAGTGGGTTAACCAACGGTGGCACTGTCAAACACACACACACCAAAAAACAAACAAACAAACAAACAAACAAACAAAAACCTGCAAAAAGCCCTTTTTATTCTGTGCCTTGAAGAAGATGCCGCAACAGGGTAGCTTTGGGTAGTAGCCCTAGTGCGTGCCAGTCAATGGGGCAGCTAGAGCCCCTGAAAACTTGACCCTTTTAAAAGGTCTAGGTAGGGACGTTTTAGGTCGAGGACCGTCTGGGTAATTTATTTAGACCTCGTCTCAAAAAGTAAAAGGGGCTGGGGATGTAGCTCAGTGGTAGAATATCCCCACTTTAATCCCCAGTACCTTACTACGGGGGTGGGGGAGAAACAAGGTTTAGAAACTAGGCAATACACGCAGAGTTGATTAGCTTACGTCTGCAATCAGTGCTTCCGATTCTCAGTTTTTTGTAAAACAGACTAGTTGAACTAAACAAGCCTTCATTCTTGTTTTGAAAGCCAGGGCCACAACAAAACAAAACATGTTAGCACGCGCCCTTACTTCCGCATTGCTTCACGCTCTGTTTGCGCCTGCGCCTTCTCCTTGGAGCAGAGGCGGGACCAATACGCCTGTTGTCACAAGCCCTCCAGTCCTTACCTCGTTTACAACTGGAGACTCTGAATTTATTGGAGGGTGACCTTGCCTTACGGCTCTCGTTCGCTTTTTACGGCATTTTCCGGCTTCCCATTCACTTGACTGTGAAGATGGCGTCAGGCAGTGGGGTAGGTGATCTGTGTGAGGAGGAGGTTTGCGGGATGGGGGGGCGGGTGCCTTCTCAGCGCTGAATACAGACGCACGCTGGCACCTGACTGGCTTCCTGACACCTCTTCGCAATTCCAGTGTCCGGGTTTGCGAATTATCCCTTAAGGCCCTGATGCAGGGACGGTGGACTCGCGGAGGTCTCTTGGGTTGGGGTCTTGAGGCGACCTCAGCTTCCTTCCTGGTGAGGTCCGGAAAGGCTACGTTTTCTAAAGACCCTGGGGCCGTCTTATTGGCGAGGCTGCGGTTTCCTCAGTTTCTCTAGGGGTCCAGATGCGGTTAATGACGGCTCTTCAGCGCTTTTTTCCCTACAGACGAAAAACTTGGACTTTCGCCGAAAGTGGGACAAAGATGAATACGAGAAGCTTGCTGAGAAGAGGCTTACAGAAGAGAGAGAAAAGAAGGATGGTAGGTGCCTACTTCGTGAAGGGCTAAGGGTGGCATAGAAGCGATGCAGTGGCCGGACAGCGGCGGGGAGTTAAGATGAAGCTGCCCTCCTACCTGATGTCTCTTTTGGAGATGTTGCCTCGCGGGTCCTCGGTTTCCACATACATAAAATTAGAGCAAGGAGATGGTCTGAGGTGGTTTGTTTTGAGGTGCTCTTCAGCTTTTGTTATCCTCTGCTTTCGTGCTCTCTCTTTGCTTGGTTCATGTAGTGCTTTCCTGAAATACAGAGGGCGGTCGTTGGAATTCGTAGTAGTGACAGAGAAAAAGTTAAGTGGAGGCTTTTGCTGTTGAACGTTACAGTATGGATGACACACAGTATTCTTTAAAAATTTCTTAGGGAGGAGGAGAACGTTCTTGGCCCAGTCAGAATCCTTCCTTATAGTCATGAGAAAAGCACTGCTACTCATCAGGAACCAAGTGATTGTTTCATTTAGTGCTTAGTGGTGCTATTGCTCTGTCCTTTGTAGTGTCAAGGAGTCGTGTTCCTCTCCTAGGTAGATTCCTTTTTACAAAAAGAAATGTCGTTATATTGGTTTTCAAACATTCTCTTTCCACACCACTTGCACGCACTTTCAGCTTTTTGTGTAAGATGCATGATATGCTTGATATACCTGTTAATGAACAAATATTTTCAAAATGTTGGCCCCCTTTTTAAATTTGACCCAGTGGCTTTTTATTTTTCTCTAAAGCCCAGAATGGATTTAATAAACTAAAATCATTCTCTGTATTATGCTTAGGGTACCTGGCTAAAAGCATTACTGAATGTTTTTGTTCCTTTTTTGAAAAGGTTAGTTTTAGTGAAAATTTAGAACTCCACTCCCACCTCAGTCAGTGAATTAATGAGTAGAGAACACAGTTATTTTAAACTTGTTTTCTGTCTGTCTTGCTTTTTTTTCTTTTTTCTTGACATGGTCTCACTATGTAGTTCAGGCTGACCTTAAACTCACTATGTAGCCCAAGCTGGCCTCAAACTTGAGGTGATCGTCCTGTCTCAGCGTCCCAAGTGCTGGTGTGCACCACAACACCTGGTTATTCTTTTTTTTTTTATGACAGAGTCTTGCCAAATTTTCTGGACTGGCCTTGAATTTGTGCCTTAGCTCCCAAGAGCCTGGGGGTACCACCATGTCTGACTAGGCTTGCTAGTTTTAAAGTGGAGAAAAGTTGGGGAGAGTTTATCATTTTTTCTGTGTTCTTATTTTTTCTTGCTGCTGCAAAGTGCTGCTTGAAATGCCTGTTGTGTCCCATCTTTCAGGAATCAAAGAAATGAGAGTAGCTCTGAATTTTGAGTTCCATGTGTTACTTCTTTCTGGTTGAGGAACCATAAAGGGACAGTTTCTCCCATCATGTTTCAGGAAAACCAGTGCAGCCAGTTAAGCGGGAGCTTCTGCGGCACCGGGACTACAAAGTGGACTTGGAATCCAAGCTTGGAAAGACAATTGTCATTACGAAGACCACTCCACAGTCTGAAATGGGAGGGTGAGTGGCTTTTTATTTTTCTCTAAAGCCCAGAATGGGTTTAATAAACTACCTATATTGGTCTTAGATCATGTTGAGGAGGGCGCATGGTCCTAAGATAACAGCCTTGTTGCCCATAATTCCACTCTTAGATTTTTTTCTTTCGCCTGAGTTCTTAACACAATAGTGTCTCCAAAAGGGGTTTTGTGAGCTTCATATTAGAATTATAAACACTCCTGAATATCTTTTTTTTTTTTTTTGGTCTTTTTCTTTTTTATCGGTACCGGGGATTGAACTCACGACCGCCTGCTTGCAAGGCAGGCGCTTATGCCGCTGAGCTACGTCCCCAGCCCCACTCCTGAATATCTTAACAGGGATTGTTGATTCTGTCAGAAAAAATAAAACAACTACTGAGGATTTTTCTAGGAGAAAAATTAGGTGGTGTGGAAATGGAACCAAGAAACTCTTAATGATGAAAAAAGGGGCATTCTTCTAGAATAGAAGGCTGTAACTGGTATGGAAGGTTCCTGGTTGTGTACTTTTTTCCTAGATCAAGGCTGGAACCTTCAGGAAGAAGGGCTCTGCAAAACTTGCCACCCTTTTGCCTACCTCTCTGTTAGGATTTCTAGCAGGAGGCAACACAAATAGCAGTTAATATTTCCTCTGAGCTGTTCATAATCCTGTTATGTTATTCTTAGTGTTAGTTATCCTTTACTATATAAATTAACAACTCAAGTTTTGGTAGAGTAAAATAACAAATAGCTCAGTAGTGTACCAAGGTGCTTCTGGCTTAAGGTCTTTCTTGAAGCTTTGTTCAAGGAGTTGGCTCAGTCTGCCAATATCTGAGATTTAAATGAGGTGGGAACATCTACTGTCAAGCTGTCACATGCCTATGGTTTAGAGGATTAAGTTCTGTACCCCATGGTTCTCTTCATATGACTGCTCGCAAGAAATCAACTGGGTTCCTCAGAACAAATAATCCACACCAAATTAAGAACTATAGTTTTTTATGACCTAATATTTTTTCACCAAGTACATTTGTTAGAAAAGAAGCAAGTTATGAAATATCCTCGTGTTTTTCCTTAAGAAATTAGAAGTAAAAGAGAATAAAAACAAATAGGAAAAAATAATAAAGATCAGAAAATAATCTCTTATCAGAATACCAACGTTGGGGCTGGGGATTTAGCTCAGCAGCATAAGCGCCTGCCTTACAAGTAAGCAGTTGTGCAGTCGTGAGTTCAATCCCTGGTAACAATAAAAACCAAAACCAAAAAAAAAAAAAAATACCAGTATCATTTTCCATAAAAATTAACATTATGATTTTACATTTATGTAGAAATACAAAAAGACTCAGAATAGTTTATACAGTGTTGATAAAGGATCAAAATTAGAGCGCCAACCCTCCCCAATCCCACGACTTACACAAAATTACACCAATCATGACAAAATGGCATTGATGTCATCAAGGTACCAATATGAAGTTCCAAAATAGACA